GACATGCCTATATTGTATTTGGTACACGAAAAATGTAAATATAACGCTATGTTCAACTTCAAGTATTATGATTCAGAACACAAAAGCATTGCAAACAGAGTAACCGATAATTGCAACAAGTGGAGATCCGTCCAATAAATCAACAACCGGAGAAGTTACCATTAATATATAATGCTTCGCCGCATAAATAGTCCACACCTGCAAACAACTAGAGCAACATGTTCTTCCAATCCCCAACTGGAAACATGAGGAAACTTTTTTCTTCCCTTGTTTTATTTTTCTCTTATTCGGAAGATGAGAAACTTAAAAAATACCTGTGCAACTTCGATGTTGGCCAAACATTACCATTTTTTTTTGTTGTTTAGCATGACTTAATTCCAAAGGGAACTTGAAATCCTTGTAAAAGATGCAACAAGTTTTCATGTTTTCAAGTACTTTTCAAATTTGAAACTCCTGCGAACATTTGATAGTTTAGGTAAGATTTTCTGTTTATGTTAATTAAAACATTGGACGGGAGGCACAAAGCAAAGTTCTTTTTGCATGTGCACATTAACTTGTTTTAATTTAATTTCTTTTTTTCATAATTATTGGCTGAAAATACAGTCACGGATTCGTCTCACCAATTGCATCAGGAAATAGTAAATTCTACAACAGATAATTCAAGAAAATGAAGAAGAATGTTATCACGCCGCAGACAACATTTACGTCTCGATATCTATATAACTGTTTTCATCATCATTCATGTCCAGTCCTGCACAACAGCTAATAAATCAGATTGAACTGTAAATTACTGAAAAAAAAAAATTTAAAACACATTATTAACAAAGGAACTTGAGGTTCAAACGAAAACTTTGAACAGAGGCCAACTTAGTAGACCGAAAATTAATAAAATTTTCCATAATTTCATAAACCAAACCAAAACACACATTTTCAATTTTATTATGAGGAAAAAACAGAAATCAGTAGAGCTGTAGTACTGATTAGGAACAACAAACACTAATGCAGGAACCTCCAGTCATTGGCCTCGTATTCTTGTTTCACACGCTTCCTTAATGATGGTCCGAAAAGGCTATTAGTCAGTGCCGAAGTCGAGGTAAGAGATGCCTTCAAAATGCTCAGGGCCTACAGTAGAGACAAGAAAATCATTCATTATTTAAAAAAAAAAAAAAAAACTCTCATCATGAAAACAAATGAAATGATCGAATTAGTTACCTCTACCAATCCAATGTTAAGCTCCAATTCTTCGACATCAGACAACGGGATTCCCAGCCGGTCCAAAATAGAAAGGCTTGAGGTCACGCACAATGGAGTCACAGTTAAATCATCGGTCACCATATACATTGTTGGCCCCTTCACGTATTTCCCATTGCCTTTTGGAGACTTGAGACGAACCAAATTGGACGTATTATCTGTCTCATATCTTGAAGAAACTTTTGTATAGGACACAATTGAAGGAGACAAATACACAATTTGCCTAGGACCAGGAAGTCCAGAGGCAACAAAATGAAGTTCAGGAAATCCTCCTTCGGTTAGAGGGAGAATTCGGTTTGGGGACATATATCCAATAGGTAGTTGCGTATCCCGTAATTTGGTCTTTGTATCTTTATTCTTCAAGTACTCGTCACCATTAATATTTTCTACACTCGAGTAGAAATTGTCTAAACTTGAAACACCAGTGTTGGTCCCCAAAAGTGACAAAGCTCCACCGAGTGGGATCGTGAGCAAACTAAAGAGAAAATCGGCAGAATCATCCTTCGCTTGTGCAAATATCAACCTTTGTGTAGATTTTTGTATCATGACATTCAATATCATCGTCTTCTCAGAGTTGGAAACAGTTGCTTCCTCTGTCGTTGGAGTTTTGACGACTGTCTTTGGTATGAAAACTCCAAAGTTAGTTTGAGCTTTGCCGATCATGATATCCGTCAAAGGAGTCCGTGAAACGAGCATGCCTTTCAGCAAATCTATAATCTAGTTCAAAGAACAAAGACAACAGTAACAAAAATCAATCAAAAATCAATCGGTCCCTCGATTGTCTTAACCATGTGGTTGTAATAATTAGTAAAATGCACTTTTAATTATTTGTTGAGTATTCCAAAATTCCCTTACTCCATTTGTCGGGTTTCATTACATTTTCAACATGGTCGGGAAATCATTCCGCAGAGATGATTAAAAAAATCCAAGTAATGAATTTAGCAGATACATAATATCAACACACACATAATTTCATAAATTCATTACAATGGAATCAAGGCTCACCTCATTATATCCGAACGTCACGTTCCTCATCTCGGCCCCTTTGATGTCCCTAATACCAAGTTCCGCTAGAGTCCTCAAGACCGACCCTGCCACATTAGGCGCCACCCGCATATCATCACCGATTATAAAGGAAGCACCTTTCCTGCAAAAAGCTCCATCATCGCCATCTTCAGCAGCCTCAGATGATCTTAATTTTGTTTCTCTGCTCATAGTTTTCCCACAATCACATCTAACAGTGTCATAGTACATGCTGAAATTGTGCTTCCCATTGGACGACTGTCCGCATGTAAAGTACTTGGTGGGTTCGGAATCACTTATATTCAGCTTCAGCTTACGGCATTCTTTATCAAACACGCTTCTCGGGTTTAGCAGCATTTGTTTACCTGACTCTGTATGAAAATGGACAACATCAAGATTGACAAGACCATTGTACAAAGAGGTCAAGCTCCCAACTCTGGGTTTGTCGTCTCCATAGTGTTCTGCAATGATTTTTGCGATCTTTCCCAATGGCAATGTCAAGAAGCTCAACAAAACGTCGAAAAAATCGCTGTCGGCCTCTGCAAAGAGGACCTTAGTTTTATCTCTATTTATCATAACTTTCAAAGTGAACTGGACATCCTTAGAGGCAGACATTGCTGTAATAGATGATTGAGTTTATGTCTCAGGGTCATGTATGCATAAAGGTTTCAATGCATGAAGGCTATTAATAAGGCTAATAAAAAAAGGTAGTCCAAGAGTCAGCCCCACAAGATTCCTGTGTCTTTAACTATTACACTGACCTTCCACTTGCCATTGAAATTGGACTGGTTATTTCGAGTTTCAATGAAATTTATATGGGGACACTTTTCCAAGCCTACCAGTGCTAGACCTCTATGAAACTTGGTGAGATTAATTAATTCAGCCACCTACACCATCAGACTGAGTCTATTTCCGAGGTGGCATTCATTTTTTTTTTATTGAAACCAAAGCATTGTGGATGCTCTAATGTGGGATATGGTTAGATACATAAAATGAAACAGCCCAACAGCCATAGCTTTGATCTAATAATCCTAACATATAACTTCAACTGTCAGGACAACTGATCTCATATGTGACATCATTTTCAGGTCATATGAAGTCATTCTCAAAGAGTACAAAACTCAACATCTTTATGATTAACATCTTGAGTTCTAGACATCACTTTTGATTCAGTTTTGTGCTGAGAAAAAAAGCTGCCATCAAATCTTACATTTGAAAATGGCTGCAGTAAATATCGATAGCCGTCAACATCCAGTTCAGTCACAAGGGTAGATAAAACTAAAATAGGTAATTTCATATACGCTCATAAGTTAACGACAAAAGTTTCTTGATCAATGTGACATGAATAAAAAACATTCAAGTACGAGAAGTAAGACTTAATCATGAAAACTATAGCAATAGCACCAGCTCTGATCTTATATAAATCCTCATCCCTCTTGCTTCGGTTGTTTCATTAAAAATGGAGTTATGAGGCCATCGGTTAAGGCTCGAGACGAAGTCAGAGATGCTTTCAGTATGCTCAGAGCCTGCACCAGAAAGCCCAAAAAAAAAAAAAAAAATTGATTATCAGTATTCATCGTCATAGTCAAATGTGTCTCTTGCCAAACACGACCACTAACCTCTTCCAAACCAACAGCCAGCTGGAGTTCCTTGACTTCGGATAATGGGATTTTGAGGCTATTGATAATGGAAAAACCCGAGGTGGAAGACAAGGGAGTCACAGTTAAATCATCGGCCACCATATACATAGTTTGTCGTTTAACATATTTTTCCCGCCATGCTATGTAATGAAAATTCTGATGGCTGTAAGTAGAGTAGGCCCTTTGGTTTTCCGGAAACTTATAAACGCTCACCCATTTGCCATAGCCATCTGATAATTTCGCCAATGGAAAAGGTAACAGACAGTCTATATCTTGATGAAAATACAAAGAAGGGAAAAGTGTGTCAGTCGGTGAGATAAAGTAGTTTCTCGAGCAGTAACAGAATGGTAAATTTGGCTGGAGTAGCTGGGTGTTGGCTTCCAATTGGTTCTTCAAATACTTTCCAGCGCTCTCATTCTCTACGCTTTTGTACAAATTGTCTATATTTATAAGACAAGAGTCACAGCGCAGTAAGCACTCGACCCCTCCTAAGGGGAGAGCCAGCAGGCTAAATAGGAAATCCACAAAAGTAGCATCAACTTCAGCAAATAGTAGCTTATTAGCTGATACAATGGCTTTCACAGTCATTTTATTAGCAACGACAGGTTCCATCTGTTTCTTGACTAAATCAACTGGTAGGACACCTATCACGCACTTCATCGCAACATGGTTCAACGGCTTTTGATCGAGAATAAGTTCCGTGAATGGTGCCCGGGAAACTAATGACACCTTCAGCAAATCCATTATCTAGGAAAGAAAATTTGGTAAACAGTAAAAGACTCATAAATTTGGTACAACTATCTAACGAGATAGAAATTAGTCACTCACCTCATTGAATCCCCAAGTTAGACTCCTTTCTTCAAAACCAACTGTATCCGTAATGCCTAAGTTGCAGAGAATTTGCATGGCGGAACTCGACGCACTAGGCAATACTTGAAGATCATCAGATATGATTAAGGATGCTTTACTAGCAATAAACACCCCGCCGCCACCATCATCCAAACCTATCATGTCAATTTTTTGGTCCAACAGGTGCCCGCAATCGCATTTCAATCCGCTGAAGTGCATGCTTACGTTCAACGTTTCACTAGAACTACAATTTACGTCACCACATTTGAAGTACCTTGTGGGCGGCGTGTCGTCAACATTGATTTTCAACCGACGACATTCAACCTCGGTCGCTCTTATCGGGTTGAGCAGCATGTTCTTACAATCCTCTGACGAGAAAAGGCCATTGTCCAAATCGCGTAAGCCGTTGTACAAAGTGGTTAAGCTTCCTACAACAGGGGCCTCATCACCATAGTGTTTGTTCAAGACTCGGACGATAGTCCCCAATGGCAACGTCAGGAAGCTCAACAAAACATCTGCAAAATCGCTATCAGCCTCCACATAAAGAACCTTAGTCTTTTGCTTGTTTATAATGGCTTTCAAGGTGAATTTGATATCTTTTGGGTTGGACATTCTGTAGGCAAGTCTGCATACAATTTTCAAAATTATGCTGTTGGTCTCCCATGTTTATAAGCACAAAAATAATCCAAAGGTCACTTTCACTAATTTTCATTAGACCTTGACCTTCCATGTCCTTGAAATGAACCTAGACTGAATTCCTTTGTTTTAGCCATTTATGTCCCCTGGCTTTCTAATTTTCTTTCCAACTTCTATAGATGATCTCTCCTTCTCTCGTCCTCTCTCTCTCTCATCCAAGAGTCACTTTCACTAACTTTCATTAGACATTGACCTTCCTTGTCCTTCTAATGAGTAATAACCCCCAATAGACACTGGTACGATTCAATTCAACATTGTGTTCGCTCGAGTTTGATTGTGTCATCCTCCGTATATTAATTCATAACGTGTTGAGTCTATGTGGCAGACTCGTATGCTTTGGAATCTTACATGTAAAAATATCATGCTTTGTAGTTAGGTTCGGATACAAAGTTTTGAAACAAAATTGGCTTGGGAAGTGCCATAAATAATTTTTTCACCACACATTTTTATCTCTCATCTCAGTTTTGCTATTGAACCATCGGATGACTCGGCTTATGGAGTCATCCATAGTTATTTACAAATATTGTATTGATACGTGTCCTACAATAAATACACTTGGGACATGTGTCAATACATTAGGTGATTGATGGCTCTATAAGAAAACCATCCGATGACTCCATAGAATTTTTGTCTCTCATCAATCTCTTTTTCATTACCAAATTTGTTTTGAATTTAATTATCACACAAATGAAAAACCCACGCGATTCGGGAAATTTTTTGAAAGAAATCTACGCAAATCTTTCTTTCTTTATCTCATTTTACTAAGGATTTATCTCATTTATCATATCTTTTCATTTTTGGTACAATTGTATTTACTTTTGTGTAGGTTTATTTATTAATTTCTTCTCATGCATTGGAATAAAAAAAATATAAAATATCTACTAAAGTTAGGACACATATAAATGTAGCACAACATATATAGCTAAAAACAAAACAATAATAACTTACTTATTTGCACAAATTACTGTTAAGAATAATATGGCAATTATGTTATGACATTGGTTACAAATTAGCAATATCTATTCTTACGATAGTGGGTTTATTTAAACACTAAGATTGATTAAAAATTAATAATAATGTAAACATGTTAAAAGTAAGTGTAGAATTTTGTAAACAAATTGATAAAGATATAAAAGGGTATATATTTTATAAATCCAATATATCATATATTATGGTTGGTGTTTTTTTGGTATGAAACCAATATAAGACTGGTATTTTTGCCAAAATGATATTTAAAGGGTTATTGTACTAGTCTACCAATCGTATTTGACATTACCATCAATATCAGTCGGCACAATACGCTATTTAAAACATTGTGTTTGCCTATAAATGTACATGCTAATTTATTTACTTTTTTAGTAAGAGTTTTTGTGTGATCTTTAGCATTAGCATTTAGCATGTTGATTATTGCTAATGTGCTATCAATTAATTTTATTTATGTAATTATCATATATAATATCTTATTTATATATAATTTGTTTTGGTTACTGCAAATGGTACTAAAATTGTTTATTTAAACTGTGAGTTTAAAAATTATTGTGTTCATGTATATCACCCTAGCGTCATTTTAAAGCTAACAATGCAAGTTTAAAAGTTTCAAATATAAATTTTTTATGTTTATCTTTAAATATTTTGATGTAAATATTCTTTAATTCAAGACCCATGTAGTACACGGGTGTTGTACTAGTAACTCTATAAATTGGGATTAGGTTTATTGTTGGATAAACTGCATTGTTGATATTGGCCCTAAAAAAAGACGGTAGGTACAGCTAGGCCGTGAATAGCCAACCATTGTACTGTAAAAATTGAATAGGTTCAATCTATAGTCATTTGATTATGGCCTCCTAAAACGATCTGCTAAATTCAGAAAGTTGTTCTAGAGAATCAAAACAACCAGTTATTAACGGAATTCCTTGTCGGTTGTCTGTGAAATACTCGCACCTAGACTGGATTCTTTTGTTTTGGCCATTTATGTTCAATGGGTTTCTAGTCTCCTTTCCAACTTCTGGAGATGATAGAGCTCTCTCTC